CTCTCTCTCTCTCTCTCTCTCTCTCTCTCTCTCTCTCTCTCTCTCACTATCTTGGATCATCTCCCACATCTCACCTAAGGAAGATTCTTAGAGATACCAAGAATTCAAACTTGGAGATCACCTCCATCTTTTTTGTCTTGCCTGAGTTATATGAACTCAATATATATATTAAAATAATATGCAAGCCCTGACCATCCCTTATGCGCCGGAGGGGACTTACAACTGACAACCAGATGCCCGACCAAATTGATACATGTTTTATCTAATCTTCAAAAAATATTTTCAAATTGGAGATCGACATTCTTGTCAATTGTTTGAAGTATTTAGGGACTTGAAGTCCAAAAATTTAGATTAAATTAGATATTCCATATTTAGTAGATTTGAAGATAAAATCATGAAAGCCTATTTTCTTTTTGTTTAGTTGGAGGTAGATATAAATCAATTTGAGCGCCAGATGGTATCAATGAAGTTAAACTTTTCTAATATATATATCATCATAGTTGAACATTTATCTTGACCATTCCTCATGGCTATTTTTCTATAGTTTTTCACTTTAGAACTTTGGTGTATTCATTTTTTATTATTCTGTATATTTAAGTGTGAGATCTTCATATGAAGTTAAGAACATTAAATTATCTCCACCGTTATGATTTTCTTAGCACATAATAAACATGAGTAGTATATAAGAAATATTTTCAATATCTTATAACTACTTCTTTGGTGGTTGATAACCCATTCCTCAATCAAGAACTCCATAATGAAACTAATGAAGGCTATCAACTCTGACTTTGGAGGATCTTCATAAATTGTTGGAGCAAAAAGCTCACATCCTTCAGTTTTTATTTATTCAACAAATAATTCCATCATGACATGAAGTTTCTCCTCCACCACAACTTAAACTAAATCTTCTCAACAATCCTATTTCAACTTATCAATCTAGTATTGCTTAACTACACTGCAGTCCTCTGACAATATTGATATACTTTGCCCAATATCATCATATTGATACCTTTCGTAATGTCATAAGGGATGAAGTATGACTTACTCTTCATTGTAACATCCAAGAATTTTCACCTCTAATCAATGTTGTTATCAAGCATCTCATTTTAATAGAGTTCAAGTTGCTTATTAATGACTCTTAGGAAATGTCATCCAATGATTCCAATCCTTATGAATACACTGAATTCCATAAGTCCATCATTTATACTTGAGGCACCGATTTAACAGGTCTTTTAAGCTACACGCCTAATGGTGATGCTCACACATAAATTTTTTTTCTCTATTTAGTAAGTCTATTCTCACCTTAATTGACATTGCCAAGCTTATTACAAATGATTTTTCTCATATTTTGAGATTTATCAAAACACGGGAGAGACCTACTTCCAAAGACCCTTTTTTTATACTCATTATTTCAAAAAAAGATCCAGAGCTACTATAATGTACTTTTATTTGAGATACCCATCATGAATTTTTTATTTTTCTTTAATGCAAGAGATGGGTATTTCATACATTAGTCTTATTCATCAAATATAAGCAAAAAACAATTATTATGAGATCATTAATATTTATAAAAAATAATTCAAACAATCTTATGAAAATAAAAAAAAAATCATAGCAAGAAATTGATCAGCCTCACTATAAATAAAACTAAACTAGTCAATACATTAGAGACAGTCTTATCATCAAATTTAACATGAGTTATCTAATGACAACTCATTAAATACAATAATGAAGATTTAGAACCTTAAACATCTAAAGTAGCTAAAATCACAAAATAAAAAAAAAATCAAGTAGAGAATAACTATTTTAATATCACAATTTTCACCATTTAAATAGACATTCAACAAAAAAATATCTTTATTTGAAAGAAAAGATCAAATATTTGACATGACGATAATATCTCTCTGTCATTATTTATAACAATAATCTATAAATTGTCAGCCTCATATTACAAGAGTCAATGAAAATTCATGGAAAAAAATGTTGAAGTTATTGATAGTATAACAGGAATGC